GGTATAGAAAGCGAGAATTTTCTTCCATTTGGGTAAAACAGAAAATCAACAGAGATCAGTCAGAACTTCAGCTTCTCTTACTCTAAGGATGCATTTTAAGGATAAAGAATTTGGTTTCTTAAAGCAGGAACTATGGATTAAAGTGTAGAATTGATGCCAGAAGAAAATATTTATTAAGTGCATACTCCTCAAGCCAAGCAGGAAATATGTCAGACCAAAACTCTGAAAACTGGAATTTCCATAGAAGTGATTTATAAATTAACTATTAAATGTTAAAGTGGAACTGGATATGATGCTGAAGTGACAGACCTGTAAGGCAGGGTGCAGGCTTGTATGAGGAGATGAAATAATTTGTTCTGCTGTTAGACTAGTCTGTGAGGTGGCACCATATAGTCAGTACAGAGAACTGTGTGCTCTGGAGAGCTCCTACCAACAAAAGGGGATGGCACAGCCTCATTTTGCAGTCTTTGGCAGGAAAAAACAAACCACACAGTGTTACATTCAATCCTCAATAAACAAAAATGCTAGTGAAGGGGTACAAAGGATTTCCACTTAGTTGCAAAATTTATTTTGAAGTTTAGTTGATTCATCATCCAAACCAAATTCTGCCCCACGTGTAGTATACTGTGCCTTGAGTGGCATTGTCTCCCAAGAAATACTAAATGGAAATGAAGTAAGTTAATTTATAGCTTTATATTTCTTGTCCCTTTCACCCAAAGGCTTCTAAGCATTTTGTAAGTGTGACAATAAAATTTCTTCAACATTCCTGAGAGATCAACAGATGGATCCAAAGCCTCTTTGAAGGGCAGATAAACCAGGCAGTGTGACAAACTTCAGGGCATAACCCTAGAAGGGGGCACAGGCTTTGAGGGGACAGGTGAGACTCCCACACCCCTGAGTTTCAGGAGCCTGCAGATGCATGCAGTTGTCTTCCTTAGCATTGGCTTCATGAACCACCCACCAGGCATGGATGTGCCACTTCCCAGGTGTGCAGCCTGAATCTTGGTTTGGCTGAGAAATGTGACCAAAAGCACTCCATGCTAATGCAGTCTCTCTCGAAATCCTGCAAGCAAGATTGTGTGAGCTGGCAATAAACCTCTGCAGCCATGCATGGCAGCAACTCTCTCCCCTTCCATAGCACATGATAATAGTATTATTGTAAGCAGTGTTTCACAGTCACAAGGGAATGAGCTAATTGCAGATACAGCTCTTTAAGAAGTAATTGCCTTGTGCTCTTTTCTTCCTTTCCCTGCCTCATTTCTTTCCTCTCCTGTGTGAGGCCTGAAGCATGATTTCTGAGCGAGGAGGACGAGAGGCCAGTGGCAGACCCTACACCACCTTCCACCTGGACCCAAAGGCTTTTACAGAATCATAGAACTGTTAGGGTTAGAAGGGACCTCTGGAGATCACCAGTCCAACCTCCTGCCAAGGCAGGGTCACCTGGAGCAGGTGACACAGGAACCCATCCAGGTGGGGTTTGAATGTCTCCAGAGAGGGAGACTCCACGACCTCCTGGGCAGCCTTTCCAGGGCTCTGCCAGGCTCAGTGTAAAAGGTTGAGGTGTTGAGGTGGAACTTCTTGTGTTACAGTTTACGGCCATTGCTCCACATCCTGCCACGGGAACCACGGAAAAGTCTCAGTACTTTCAGATATTTTTATGTATTAATGGGATTCCCTCTCAGTCTTGTCTCCTCCAGACTTGACAGGCCCAGCTCCCGCAGTCTCTCCTGTTGAAAAACCATGATTAACCAAGAAGCGCGAACAGGGGTGCGCAGCGGCGGCTCCCGCAGACACTCAGGTCCTGGCATTCCCGGGATGCGGCAGCCCAGGCCCAGGAGGAGCGGCCCGTGTCCCTGAGAGGAGGGGACGAGCCGTCCGCCAGCCCCAGCCCCCGGTGCATCCGCGGCGCGGCAGCCGCGGGGCGGGGCGGGGCGGGGTCGTGGGCGGGCCCGGAAGATCCGGGTCGGAGGGGACGGGAAGTCGGGACGTGGCCGCCGCAGCGGAGCAGGAGGCAGAGGGCGGGCGGGAGGCGGCGGAGGATGGCGGCGGTGCTGAACTCGGACCGGCTCGAGGTCTCGGTGGACGGGCTGACGCTGAGCCCCAACGCCGAGGTGCCGCCCTGCGAAGCGCGGCCGGCGCAGGGCGAGCCAGCGGCGGGGCGGGGCCGAGCGGGCCCCGGCTCCCCGGGCGCGGCGGAGGCCGGCGGCGAGGCGGCGGAGGAGGTGGCGCTGAGCCTGGAGCGACGCTGGGGCTTCGCGCTGGAGGAGCTCTACGGACTGGCGCTGCGCTTCTTCAAAGGTGAGCCCGGCCCGCACCGCACCGCCTTCCCCCGGAACCGGGGCAGCCACCGACACCGGGGAGCCCCGGGCGGCATCGCCCGCCGGGCCCGGCTGAGGGGCTCAGGCGGAGCCCCGGCTTCCCGGAGAGCCGCGGGGGGAGGCCCCAGGAGGGCTCGGTGTGCCGGCGGCCCGCGCTTTTCCTGGTGCCGGCCGTGAGCCGGGGCGAGGGGCGGGAGCAGAGGCTGCCCCGGGCCTCGGTGCGGCACTGCCCGGCGTGTGCGGCACTGCCCGGCGTGTGCGGCACTGCCCGGCGTGTGCGGCACTGCCCGGCGTGTGCGGCACCCCGCCTAAACTCAGAGCGACAGAGCTCCGTGCCGGTGGCGCGGGAAGGAAGAGCTCGCAGGCGTGGGTGAGGAGCGCTGGCCGTGAGCGCTGCCGCGCCCGCTGACAGCCCGGCTCCTGGCGAGAGTGCCGTGCCCTCTACTCAGTATACAGCTCCAGGGCTGGCTTCGCTGCTTCAGGGCGATGGGACAGTCTTGAGCTGTGCCAGGGGAAGAATTTCTACACAAAAAAGGTGGCTGGACATTGGAATGGGCTGCTCAGGGAGGTGGTGGAATCTCCATCTATGGATGTGTTTAAGGAAAGACTGGATGTGGCACTCAGTGCCATGGTCTGGTCGACACCACGGTCATAAGTTGGACTCGATGGTCTCAGAGGTCTTTCCCAACTTAATTGATCCTGTGATTCTGTGTGCCACCATGACCCCAGCAGGCAGTGGTGAAATACCTAGGGTGTAGACCTGGAGTGTTTTTGCTGGGATCCCCTGTAGCCAGGTGTGCTTCTGTGACTTATCTTGCCACACTTGGTTTCCTCCGGAGGGGGAGGTGGGCTGTGGGATTTTGAGGGAAGAGCTGTGCTCACTGCGTTGGGGACGTTTCAGCAGTGTGTCGCTCCTGTGGCTTTCAGGCAGACACTGCTTCAGGTGGAGCAGGGAGTCCAGCCTCATGCCTGCACTAGGGAAGACAAGCTGTGCACTTGGAAAGGTCAGTCTGGTGGCAATCAGTTGTTAGATGACCTCCCAGGGAGCCTGCCTCTTCTAAGGGCGAGCACTGCTGGCAGGTGGAAACACTGCTGGAAGGACAGGGTCGTCTTTCTTCACATTGGCTGACCTGTACCTGGTAGTTGTCAGGATCATGTAAGGCTCTAGGCAGTTTTCTTTAGCCGTGGTTCTTTGACTCTGATACCCTTCCACTAAGTAGTTATTATGTTAGCATGCTAATATACAGAGGTGGGGTTTTTTTAAGCTGTAAAAAAACCAAGGAAACATAAAATCTTTTTTTTTCCCTCCTGTATCAGAGGTTATCAGGTTGTGGAAGCATTGTACTTAATGTCTCTTTCTTCTTTCTTTAAAAGAAGTTGCTTAAAAGAGTACTGATTGTGTTTAATGATGCAGAAAGAAATGTCTCTGCACTAGCACATTCCTTGTCTCGGTCAGTCATGGTCTTTTTCTGTCTTGATTAGAATATTCTATTCTGTTAGAATATTAGGACCTGTTTTTACCTGTTCACACCTGTAAAGTGTGTTTGCAGTGCAAGAGTTACATGCTGTGAATTACTTTATCTATATGATTGCTGTGTAGCAATAACCTATATCTATTATATCATGTTTTAACAGAATTAATGCTCTGGCTTTATCTCCTCTCTAATGATTAAGTCTCTGGGGTGTTACTTGTGTGTAGGTTCCAGTTCCTTGCCTTGTGCTGTCTTAGCAATGTTTTTTTTTGTTGCTGTTCTTTTTAATCAAAACTTAATATCAACATGTTTCAGTTACTCCTGCTCATTTTTAAAGCCTTCTGCAGTATATTATAATTCATGGTTGTGCTCATAAGATGATAGTTTTCCCCATTCAGTTTTTCCAGTGGAAACCTTGTTTCTCTATCCCTGTGGCTGGAATAACTCACACAAAGTCATTGCCCATCATTTCATCTGTAGATTTTTTCCTAAAAGTGACGTAACACAAAGATTTTTATTTATAAATCTGATGGGGAGCTACAGGAGCTTGTAATACTTGGGTTACTGATTCTGCCAGTTTGTTCTATATCTGCACAGCTCCAAAAATAAGTGGTCTCGTTTCCAAATTATTTTCATGCTGTCAGAACAACTGTGGGAGTGGGCACGCTTGGTTAGCAGCCCTGTGCATGCCAAGGACAAATAGGGATTCCTCCTGTACTTCAAGAGGCAGCGGATCTGTCTGAAGGGTGGCCCATGTTAAGAGGTCAGTGCTGAAACCTCGTTTCTGACCATTCTTCTAAAACTATGCTGATAGTTAAGCAGCTTTTTTCTGCTTCAATGTACAGCCCAAGTTGTCTGTAACTCCTGGTGTACTTTTGTCCAAAAGAAATTTAATCTGATAAAAATAGTTCGAGCTTATTACAATGACTGCTAACACTTGTCAGTGGTGGCATATTGCAGGCAACAGAGTTGTTCAGAGACAAGACAGGGTGAGAGTGTGTGTGTACAAGCCGTGGGCAAAACACAACAGAAACTAGGCTAGGATATTAAAGAGATTCAAAAGCTACTTTATTCTCTCTCTGATAAAGACAAATCTAAAGCAGATCTAAAATGCTTGACCCTGGGTCACTTCAACTGTCAGGCCTTAGGCTGTGCAGGAGATGTGCACTATTTTTTTTTTTTTTTTTTTTTTTCGTTTCTTAGCATTCATAATGGCTTGTGAAGAGAGCTTTTCAGAATAACAGAGGCATAGAAAATAGATGGTAACAGTGTTCCAGTCCGTTTTTCTGTGGGAAGCAGGAGCCTTCTTTCCCTTATGCACTCTTTCCCTTCCTGCTCTGTTCAGCCTAGTGCAGGTCAAGCAGCATTTTGGCTGCCATTAAGAAGCTGCTCCACTGTGCTGGATCCAGTGTGCAGTGGAGAGCAGTCGTGTTACAGTCACAGTATATTTCTTTGTCTCTAGGACTGCCTGTAATTGTGAACCCTGGGGCATGTGGCACAGTAGAAGTGTCTCTCTCTGATGGGTTATTCTGCTTGCTGAGCTGAGTTATACCAGTGCTCTGTTCTGAAGCAGGAGAGGGTGGCTTGCATAGCTCGGCCAGCAAATCTCTCCCAGGATCAGCCTGGCTTGGTTGTTTTCCACATCCTGTCATTGAAATACCATTGCACCCAACCTTCAATATATGACGGTCCCTGAAGTGTTCATGCACTGTCTAAAGTGATTTGCAGTGCAGCACATCTGAGCAGACAGTACACGAACCATATCATTTTGGTATCTAAAAGCTCTCTTGGAATGTTAAGTACTCTAATTTTCTTTGACTGCTCTAAGTTATTTCCTCTTATCCTAACAAGAATGCATCTTCAACCTCAGCAGAACATCATTCTCAATTAATAGTTTGACCTCTTTTTTGAGCACTAATTTGATGGAATGATTGTAATTCGTAAGTTAAGTAGGCTCTTGTTGTCAAGAATATGAAAACCTCTATAATGTATCTACATTTGTGAAGTTGAGCTTTGATCATATTTAATTGGAAGGGCCAGTCGGTAATTCTGTTGATGCAGAACACACTTTCAGGAGAGGAGGATTAGGAGTGTAAGAGTGAACTGGGCTCTGCAGGCAGCAGTTCAATCCTCACACTTCTCAGTTTTGGTCTCGCTCATTAAAACATTGCAAATGAATAGAATTAACAAACGTGACTTTTGCTTTTAAAAGCTATGAGGTGAAAAATCATTCTTCACAAATTGTTTTCTAGCTACTTCTAGATGATTCACTGAATGCTATCCCAATGGAATTAGGCATTTAGAGTGGGTGCAGTAGGTGAAGTTGGAATGGAAGGTGCAGCATGGTGTGCTGTGTTTCTAAACGGGGAAAAAAATCTGAAGTTACAGAGGAGTAACAGTATCTTGCAATCTCTTAAGCATATTTTTTTAAACTCCTCTGAGTCTAAATTTGCAGGCTTTTATCGATTCATGTCAATAATACAGTGCCATACAGTGACGTGAGCCCCTCATGTTACTAGTAACAGCTTCATCTTTCTGTTGTGGTTGAAAACTGAGCATCTTCCTGGCCGTGTTGTGTCAGGGATACCAGTGGTATAGGGAAGGTTGTACAGTTGCTGCATTACTGCTGTGCAATCCTTTGGATTTCTCAGTGTGTTCCCTGGAGCTCTTTGATGTTCTCCCACTTCCCGACAGCTGTATGAGGTGTGTGGGTAATGCCTGCTTAAATGGAGCGTTCACGGATGCTTGGATACATTTGGCACTTCTGCTTGTCTAGACACACTAATGCTCTTTCTGGCATATTTGACTCTGCAGATGAATTCAGATCCTCTAGTTCAGTTAAACACCAACAATTCCTGGTCTTTGGGTTATTATACGGTGTGGTTTATGCTGTAGAGTTCAACTGCAAAATAGTTAGTATGAAACAACTACACTGTCTAATTGGCTGCAAGTGTTTTCCTGATAATTTGCTTCTAAGCTACATTATCTACAAGTCATTGGAAGCTTGTCTTGTATTTTTCTCCTCTGTCTTTTTCCCTCTCTGGCTTGTTTGTTGTTCTTCCCTTGGGTCACTATTCTTTGTAAATGCAGATTTTGGCTTCTCAGTAATTAGGACTTGAGGTCTGACTTCTCTGTTCTGTGAAAACACAGATGTGCTGTGCATTGCATGGGAAATGAAAGTTTTTTTCACTTTAGCTCTCTTCAGGAGTGATTTCAAATACTATCTGGCTTAGGTAGCAGTTTAGTACAGCAAATAGCTGTGTGTTTTGCCAGACAGATGTAGGTACACAGGTTGTGAAAAGTAAACTGTGCTATAGGGACCCCCTTGAGAATCATACTTTTCTCAGAAGCCTGGCAAAATTTCAGTGCAGTACCTTTGTCAGTTGACTTGCTTTGTAGCACACTGCCTCAGGATATTAAGTATTATTTCAAAGTAGATGCTGTTTATTGAGGCTAATGGAAGTGCTTGTTACCTAATAAGTAAATTCTGAGTTGAGTGTAAAGTGTGAAGAGTTGAGGAAAAGCCAAAGGGGCTCTTTGGAAGGCCTGAGAGCAGGAGTTGAAAGCTTACCAGAATGTGGTGATTGTGATCCTTAAGGGATGCCAGACTTGGGGTGGGAAGGCACTGCTGGGGATTGTCAGGTTTAGCCCTCCTTTTCAGTTCAGGCTTCATGGCACTGTCTCTGTTTGGGTTTTGAACATCTTCAGTCATGGAGACTTAAAAACTTGTCAGGGCAACCTGTTCCAGAGCTCGATCATTCTCAGTTAAAAAAACAAAAACAACAGCATAAAATAGCCCCAAACAACTTCAAGCAAACAAACAAACCAAAAATGCTTAAGTGGCATTTCCTATACTTCAGTTTGTGTCAGCTGCCTCTTGTCCTTTCGTTGTATACACGGAATAAACTCTGGTTCAATTTTTACATTCCCCCCTTTTCTACCCCACCAGATATTTTTGGAAGTAGATATTTTTGTGGAGAAGGGCTTCTGGTTTTGAAGCTGGCAGTTGTATTTGCTGCAAGGTTTTATGACACTGGGACAAGAGCAAATACTTGAAATTCTGCAAGAGTGATGTGGACTTCTAGGAATGGATAATAAGTAATTAAATATTTGCCTTCCTAATCGTTTGATTGTGGCTCAAAGCAAATGGCATGCGTGTAGTAGTTCCTTGTGATATTTCAGCTCAGTAAGTCCAGCAGTGTACTGAATTTTCTCTGTTAAAAATAGCGTCTTGCTGTGACCTGCAAGCACTTTCCCACTGGGATTGTTTCTGATTTCCAGAAGTATTTGCTCTGAGTTTCTCAATAAGCTGTAGTAGGGGTATTTTCCTTCCTCTCTCGTTGTAAGATTTGCTTATTTCCCTATTAATAACTGTTCCCAAGTGTCAGCCAAGCAATTTTGCAGTATGTGTCAGCCTGAAATTTAGGTGTGGACTGTTCAGTTTGAGGCTGTAAACAACTTGCTCCAAAGGAGAACGGGGCATGAGTGGCAGTTTTGTCTCCAGCTCCCAGTTACATGGAGAACATTGCAGTCATGGGAGGTGACTGTCTTCTACCTCTGGTAGTAGGTAGTAGTCGTTTCTCCTTCCAAAGGGAGATGGTGCTTACTTATTTGTTTTCCTGTTCAAGAAAAATGTCTTATTTATGAGCAGTGTAGTGACCTGCAGCAAGCAATGCCTGTTTCTTTGATTTGTTTTGACAATTTAAATGTGTTGAGGTACGTCCTAGCTGACTAATTCATACATCATTTTAAATCAATGCAAGTATCTTCTTACCAGTAAAAGCATAGTGAGATCTAACTGGGAATGCTTCAGAAGATGCTCCTGTGGAGCCACTGGAACATGTTCAGGCTAATGGTGCCTTTTTATTGTCAGAGTTCACTGTCTGTGTTCCTGCTGATGGAGAGTCAGCTGCAAGGCTTTTCATTGTGAGGGGCTATTCCAGCTGCCTTGGCCAAGGGCAGCAATTGTATTCCCACAAGGAGAACTCTCTTTGACTCTTAATCTTTCCTCTCTGCAATTCTCCTTGCCTTCAACCTTGGTTGTTCTGCTTTCATCAATGTGAAGAGCATGAAAGGAGAGCAGTTTGTAAAGTTAACATCACGTCTTTCTTTGTGGAAAATCCTTCCTGTGCACAACAGAGTAGACTTGGCAGACACTTTTGAATTCAGTTAAGGTTTTTAAATATTTCGGAGGTATAGATCCATATGGTGTGATGTTCAACAAATTAATGTAAATATTTATGTGATAACTGACTTGCTAAGACTGACTGTTGATAGTGGGATGCAAAGCATTCTACACCGAAGTTTTCTTTAGCTGAAGTAGATATGTTTTATCTGGACAGATTTCTATTTTATTTAAATAGAACTGACTTAATTTGTCTAACCTTTTGTGACTTGACTTTTTTTCTCTTTTTATATGGTGGAAATAATGGTAATGGTTATGCAACATCCTCATTCATATTCTGTGCCTAATTAATCACCACAGTGAACATTTCTTTATTTTTTTTCTCCCTACAGAAAAAGATGGCAAAGCCTTTCATCCAACATACGAAGAAAAGCTCAAACTTGTGGCACTGCACAAGCAGGTTCTGCTGGGACCTTACAACCCTGACACTTGCCCTGAAGTTGGATTCTTTGATGTGCTGGGGAATGATAGAAGGTAAAAGGACTAGTGCTTTTGTTGGTCTTAACTCTGCTTTTCCTGTGAGAAGATAACATCATCCAATTTCTACAAGCATGTGAGTTATCTCAAGTGTCTGTGCTAGTGGAAAGTCAAAGTGGCCTCTTCAAATACATCTTAGAAGTGTGAGTCACAGTTCAGTACAGGAACTAACAGAAGATTATTGGTTTGTTTTTTTTTTTTCAACCCCACTAGAGGCTGCTCTACTGACAGTCCAGTTTCTTGTAGCAGTTTAAGATGCATTAATGTGCAGGCCTATGTTTCATCTGAACTCTATGCCATGGTTACAGCGGGCCAAGTTTTTTTGCCAGTGGTAGAAGCATTCACCACAGCTTTTTCTAGCACCAAAGATAATTTCTGAAGTCAGAAAATTAAAACCTCATGCATTCAAACTCTGAGTAAATTTTTTATGAGACCTGGGAAGTCTCAGGTATGTCTCTCGTGTTGCTTGCAGCTCAGGCTGCACTTCTCATGTTCATTGTTGCTCTTTTTAGTGTTCTAGATTGAAGGCAACATGCAACACAGCAGTGGCTTCTCTGAGGTGGACCCAGGGCACTGCTTTTGCACAAAAGGATGCAGCTTTTCTTAGGAAGAACAAGGCTGTTTCTTTCAAATACCTGAAGTGCTGTAATCATTAGTTGTTACCATGGTTGTTCATTCAGGAAAATGTATACCTTTTTTTCCACAAACTAGGATGGAGGGAGGTTAAAATATACTTCAGGTTCACTTGTAGCTGGGAAGTTTTTGGACATAGTTCAGAATTCAAAGTAGGGTTGATGGGATGTATAAAATTTCATGTATGAGCTGAGTTATGTCTATTTGAAAGACAGAATAAAAGAGAACATTGTGCAGGCAGAAGAGAAGGTTGTACTGTCTTTGGGAAGAAGTTGTTGGTTCTCTGAAACTGCAAATTATAACGTTTGGTTCCTCATCTTCCAACTTTTTTTTCTTTGCTGGGTTATCAGAGCTCACTACTGGCTTGAAAAGAGTTGAGTCTGTTATTTCAGCTGAATTCTCTCTCTTAGGAAGGAATGGGCTGCCCTTGGAAACATGTCAAAGCAAAAAGCTATGACAGAATTTGTGAAGCTCCTACATAGGTGCTGCCACTTGTTCTCAACGTATGTCACTTCCCACAAGATAGAGAAAGAAGAGCAAGAAAAGAAAAGGTAACATTTGGGTGCTTTGGTGTTGGCATCTATGGAGTGTGTAACTCTTGGCATGTGGACAGTATCACAGCTAGCTTAGATTGGGGTTGTCTTGGGAAGGCAAATGCTTGAAGTGTAAGTGGCTGTGGTACCATTTGATCTCTTTAAGCCTTTTTGCTTTGCCAGTAATGGGTGGTTGTTTAGGAGTTTTAAAGATTTTGCTGATACTGTCATCTGCTTAAGAAGAAATCCTTCACAAAATGTCTGTCCTGATGTCTGTGGACTAAATATACAGAGAATATTGAATTGTCAGTTTTAAACGTCTCTTCTAGTATGGGTTAGCAGCTCGACAAAGGCTGTCTTATTATTGCTTCCAGGTGTGATTATTAAACCATAGTATCCACATCATTATTGAACATGTGTGAAAACTTGGAAGATGTATTTAAAGCTTCCAGGCAATTTTTTCTGCTGTACAGGTAGCATAGTACCAGGTTAGCATGAATATCAAATTGTAACACAGAATTTAGCCTTGTCATGCTGCTCAGTGCAGTAGGACTCTGCCATGTGGTGTCTTCGTGTGTCCAGTAAGACACTTCTCCAGCCCAATTTAAGTGTGAGGAGATACACTGGATTTTGTCTGGAGGATACCAGACTGGACAGGCAAAAGGCAGGTTACAGCATGTTGAAAATAACTCATCCTAGGATTGTAGGAATGCTGAAATGGCTTATTGAGTGGATGTTGCAGAAGAGAAGAGGAAGAGCGAAGGCGGCGTGAAGAGGAGGAGCGGGAGCGGTTACAAAAGGAAGAAGAAAAACGTAGGCAAGAAGAAGAGGAAAGACTGAGGAGGGAGGAAGAGGAGAGGAGGAGAATAGAGGAGGAACGACTTCGGATGGAACAACAGAAGTGAGTGGTGGAAACAATCACTTAAAAGAAAATAACTGCCTTGCATTTGAGACAATTGTATGCTCGGAATATACAGTTCTAATATATTTCATTGTTCCCATCACATCCAGATGCTGAAAGCACAGATCTGGCTTTGCACATGTAATATTTAGGAGAATAATAAAGCTGGTCCACATCAGTCAGCAACTATTTTTCACCATAGAAATGTCTTTGCAGGGGGTGTCTCTGAAGTAGATCCTGTGCTTGCTATTTAGTGGTTTTGAGAAGGGAGCAGATAATTTAACCACAAGTTTTGCTGCTTGTTTAACGTGGTGAGAGCCAGAGGAGTGTTAGGGACGGGCATAAATTTATATATACCATGAAAAGTGTTTCACAGTGCTAAGTAACAAGAAGTGTGGTATGCCTTGAAGTTGATGGGGTTTTTCACATGAATAGGACTTGTGTATTAAGTGGTCATAGCAGGTTACAGAGATAAAGAGTTTAGACAGAAAAGGAATGTGGATACCAAGTGTATCTAAACTGGTCATAGTTTGCTGAAAAGCAGTAAATCCTGCTTTTTGGGATACTAGACCAGTCTAATACTTATGCTTTAGAACTTGGTTTTGGGGGATGGAAGAAGACTGAGAAGGAAAGAATTTTTCTTGCAATTGTGATACTTCTTCCTTCCTCTGAAACATTGATAGCTGGTCACTGATGGACGTAACATGAGACAGGCCCTGGATCTATCTTGTCATTTAGCCATAGAATTTCTGTTAATTCTTTAGAGAGAGGAGGAAAACAGCTTGTGCATATGTAACCCATGTGTTCCTCCTGCAGTTTTAGCAGTTGAGTTTACTGGAGTTGCAGATGCCCCATCTGGCAGCTTTTTCTTTTGTTTGTTTCTGAGTTAGGCCACTGTCAGTCATGTTTTTCATATTTGTTTGCATACTGACCAGGAAAACTAAGATAGTGAATCGGTGTGTTTTTCTTAGATTCACCAAAAAGCATTGGTGTGCTGTGCCACAGCAGGTTTGTTC